GCTCCACCACATGTACCACATGAGGTGCGAATGACAATAAAGAAACTCTGACTCTGACTCTGATTTTGCCACCAAGTATCGTCTTTTTTTCTCTCTCTGTGCTCCGGTGAAGAGACGCGTCTCCCCGTGTACCGTTTCCCTGCTTGCTCTCATGTCTTCTGAACCCTTAAAGAGCCTCTTTTTTTTATGCATACCTTCCCAATTCGAAGGATTTGATCAGCTGGTCTCTCAACAAAATTGATCTACTTCTCCCGCAGGGTAGAGAGGACCCTCTTACCTCAATGGAAACAAATTGGATTCATGATGACAACTGGTTATTTTGCTGTTTGGTTGGTGAAATCTGGATAGTCTTCAAATTCGTGTGAATGTGTTGAAGCTCGACAGCACTCAGACTGAATTATGTGGAGCTGCGTCAGAGCTGGAGCAGCTGTTATCAGGACTGTGAACTCTATAGCAGCACACATGAAGGTGGGAATAATCTTGGAGAAGCTGTGAGCTCGACTTTTGGCGTAAGGAATCAGTCAGCTGTTTGGAGTTCCCATCAGAGGAATATATACCAGCGAGACTTTAAAAGGAGTTTTGCCTGACCCAAACTGTGGCCTTGACGGCGGACTTATCTCAACTCCTCCTGGCATGTTTTGAAAATAACAGATACTTTGTCTGTCTCCTCACCCCTCCCTCCCCCAAGGCCGTGAATATGTGACAGAACCTCAGCCAAGCTGATGATGAAGAACACCTCTTATCTGGACAATGCTACGACTTTCCCTTAAAATTCAATGTCTTCACCGACCTACATGTTCATGTATAACGTCTGGTTATGTTGCTTTGCTGTGGGAGGTTTTTTTGATGCCTCAAATTGTGCCCCGTCTAGGACACGGAGTGAGAGATCTTTTTTTATACCGTCTCTCCTCATGTTTTCCTCCCTTTTCTCATCTAAGCAAAATATTATTCTGAATAAGAATAAGAGGGACGCGTTTTTTTAAAGCAGCAACTTCGTGCACTCCGTCCATTTTTCGGAAGACTGTACGTACATGTTCTCGTTGTATCTCGGTGAAATGATAATAAAGTTTGTTCTGATTCTGATTGTTTGCCAGAGGGATCAAATACTCATTTTTCTCTGCAAAATGCAAATAAATTTCTATAATTTGTACAATGTGACTTTCTGGATTTTATTTTTGATATTCTATCTCTCACTGTTAAAATTAATATACCCTTAAAAATTATAAACTGCTCATGTCTTTGTCAGTGGGCAAACTTACAAAATCAGCAAAGGCTCAAAAAATTATTTCCTTCACTGAATTTATTTATATTTACACACACACATATATATTAAAGAAGGAACAATGGAAACAGGATGAGGGAATTTAAGAAAACAAAACTAAATTTAAATGTTTACTTTGTCCAACTTGTAACTTCTGCATGCATGTCTGAGATGGACCAGAGACCAACAGAACATTGCTGTAGATTAACGTTTGTTGAACGTTAAAAAACTAAATTTTCATACAAAAAACAGATTATGTAAAAATGGTCACAAAGTGACGCAGTAATAATTTCCATTGAATTGGCATTATTTTGGTCAACAAACAGCCAAAGGGAGAGCTCGCTCTGCTTCCCACTGAACTCAACTGTGTCTCGGGTTTGTTGTCATTAGTTTTTGTTTGTTGTTTAGATACTGGACTTTTCAGTCACACATCTCTTCTGGGATCTCATGAGGGTTCAGGATGCCTGGCACAGACATCTGGATCTTGTGCTTTTCCTCTTGTGCTTGACGGAGTGCCGACTCCCTCTCCTCCAGGAACAGATCTGATGTGTCCTCACCTGCAAACTCCTGCAACACAACATTGGGAAGCACCCAGTGGTGAAGCTGGACATGAAAATGTGGGAGGTTCAGGAAGAATTCAAACCTCCATCTTATTTTGTTTATGATGAAGAGACAAAATAAAGTACATTTGTATTTTGTCACACAGTTAGGTCATTTTCATTATCTGAATTGAAACTGAATTGAATTGAAATTGATAAATTCAGAACAGTATAAAATAGTCCCTTGCTACTTCGCAGTTCGTTTTTCATGGACTCGATCTCACGGTTTTTCAAAATAAGATTGGACATGACAAACAACTGGCTGAATGATGGATGGCCGCACGATCGGCATAGAATTTTTATTTAAAATGAACGATTTAATTTATTTAGCACCTGCTGCACCTGTGTGCAGCCCACACTGCAGGAGAAAATTCCTCCTGTAGCTTCTCCTCCCTCCTCTGTCGATCTCCGTTCTGTGGCGGAGAAGTGGGCATGGCCCAGAGCGCAGTGTGCAGCCATGGCAGAGAGCTGAAACCATGAAATGCTGTGCTCTTTTAGAGTGTTTAGTTTATAAACATTATTTAGAATATTGCAAGAGTGTGGGAAGGGTTTAAAATGCCTTAATAAAAAAAATAAAGTGTAAATACTAAAATAAACTACTACTTACTACTTGTACTACTATACTACTATTCCTACTCTGCGGTTATTGCGGGTCTTCAGGGTACCGATCCCCCGCAATAAATGAGGGACTACTGTAAATCGAAATTGAATTCATGTAGGAAATTGGCCACAATACCCAGCCCTAGTGTGTCAGATGTCGTGTGTCATTTACTATAATTAGAGCTGAGTACCGAACCAAGGTTTTTTTATGGCACCGACCGAACTGCTTCGGTCCGTGTATGGATTGAAACATGACTCCTTTTGGTGTCAAGTTTCGGTGTTGGCTGTAAGATGACACGTGGTTTCAGCATGCAGGCAGGTAAAACACAGACATGTGACAAACAGACTACGTGTTTACACCCAGAGCTGTATAGAGCTGCCGTACAGCTTGTATGTTTATGGTGGTGGTTACGTCCACAGACGGGGTTCAAATCAAAAGCTAAATAAAGACGGACAGTAACAGATGAAGCTTAGCTTGTAAAAATGTGCTTATCCATCGGGTCAGCTGCTTAAACAGTTCACTAATGTTCACCGTTTGTTCATGTTCTCCTCACAGGAGGTTCTGACCCAGAAGTGAGGAGGACAGACAAAAGAAAAGCTAGGTGGGGGCCACAGGACAGTCACAAACTTTGTTGTTAAAAGTTTGCTGCTTCTTCTACAGTGGAGGCTGCACGGTGGAGGTAAGTAAACTTTAAAGGATGTTGTTGACCAGTTAAACTTTTATCTCTCAGCCTAGATAATGGTTTTTGGTCAATAATAACACAACCATGTTATTGTTGATGTTTTGTGTTCAAATGTCAATTAGGGAGATGATCAGAGCCCTAAACCCCAGAGAACCACAGAGAAGATTCAGGCAGAGACACAGAGGTGCAGAAGTCTTCATCAACCCTAACCTCAGTGAATCCAGTGACCTGCTGGTGGAATGTGAGGAACAGTATGTCAAAGTGACAACCAGGTATCTGTGTGTGCAACAAGCATCATCCACACCCTCAGAGTGAACATGTTCTACTGCTGGAGACACCATCAGCCAGGAGCAGCTGGTTTGTGTCCAGAGAAACAGACATGTTGATGTTTCTGAAGAAAAACTGTTCAGTGAAAAGATCCTGTGTGTAGCAGTGAGCATTAGACACTGACCTGTCACTGGTTTGAAACTGGTCTTTTGAACTGGAAATTATTTGTTTATTTTTATGTAAGGTATGTATCTGTTAATATCACCATTCTTCATGTACGCTTTTATTGTGGAGAAGTGACTTAATAAATGAGTGGACTTGAATTTGCCACATTTAACTTTAGTGGAAGTTATTTGTGGTAAAAATATGCAAAGTTAGTGAAAAGGCAAACCCACTAAACCCACTTTTTTTTCCCTCCCAGGCTCTCATTGAGGTGGCAGCTCCTGTTTCTCCTCCCCCGCTTTCCTTCTTCCTGCTCTGCTCTGTGTGTGTCTGAAGTGCCTGGGTCTCATCTCCTGAACATAAATTAAGAAGATTATGGATTTGGTATTGTGGGCGTTCAACTCTATTGATAAGATTTTTTCATCAAAGCAACAAGGTCCTGGAGAACCGGCATGTCCAGCTGAGACTCACGCTGTGGGGTACGTCATGGATTCGTGGGGAGTGTGGCAATTGATGTGCATCACAGTTTTGTCTCAGGAGAATGTTGAAGATGTTTACATATTTGGATTTATGATAGCAGGGACTCTGCTTTTTGGCATCGGCGGGGCTCTGTTTTATCGACTTTTGAAGAAGAAGGCAGGAGCAGTTTCGGCCATGGAAAAGCTTCCGAGTCAGTGTGAAGGTCTGGTCCTCGCTGTGGGAACTCTGAATCATCTGGTTTACAAGCTTAACCGTAAGGTGGAGGTGACTGAGAATCGCAGACCACCTGAGGCTTCTGGGACTCATCAGCATGGTGGGTTCTTCCTTGAAAGAGTATGGATCAGTAGAATGGAATCCCACAATTAGGCATTTTGGAACCAGAACGCCCAGATGGACTCAAGGCTGAAGAAAAAACAAAAATCAAGCTTATCTGAATCAGACTCCCGACGGCCTCGGAGACAGGCTGACTATCAATTTCTCCTGGGACATGAGTACCCAAGGACAAAAGCTTCATCTATCCATCTATCAATTTACAAATTATTTCAAGTTTCAGATTTCTTTTGTGGATATGGAGTACTGAGTGTAGATTAATGAGGAAAAAATAAATAATTGTAAGATTAGGTTGCAAATGAATTTACTGGAAAAAAGTGAAGGAGTTTTAATTCCACCTGAAATAACTCATCTTTCACTTTTTGTGCTGTTATTTAACAGGTAGATGCATTTTATAAAAACTGTATGCTCTAAAACATCTTCAGTATTGATGTCTCAAAAAATACAAAAGATCTAAAGGCTGAATGAAATCTTGTTTAAAACATGAGAAAACTACACAAAACATTAAAAATTTAAGTGACGTGTGGAAAAATGTTGGATGTAAAATAACTTCATAAACTGAAACTAAAACAAACACCAAGCTGTAGCTGTGAACTAACAGCATGACTCACTGAGACACATCCATGTGTTGATAAAAAGAAAACTGCTTCACTAAGCCTGGTCCTCATAAGGTGTCCTTGTCCTCCAGTCAGCTGGAGATGCTGGAGCTCGGAGGTCAGTGTCACTGTCTCATGATCCTGAGGCTGCCGGTTCGAGCCCAGGTCAGAGAACGACCTAATCTGTCATGCAGGTTTGCTCGTTGCGGTGCCCACTGAAGAGGCAGAGTAAAAAAACCCCACACGTTTGCAGCCAGTGCACACAATGACCGTAGTGAGACGTGATAAAGGTCAACAGCACACCTGGACTCGTTCTGCTTACGTTCTGTCGACCATCTTTAAACAAACGGAACATTTAAATATCTAATATTATGATTCAGGTCTTTGAAGCCTAGCTTCACTCCTACAACAAATGATAGCAGCCGATCCGGGTTTGGCAAGCTCACCTTGATCTGCACCAGGAAATCCCTCAGGTGCTCCTTGAAGGCAGGAATGTCTTGGTTCAAACTGAAGAGCCCCGTCACAAACACCTTCACCTGAGCACTAACACAGAGGTACAGAACATTTAGACACCCGCCTCACCGCAGCACTGTGGGGCAGCGTTTCCACTCACTCTTGAAGGTGGGGGAAAGCAGTCTTCAGTAAGTTGGCCACGTATTCCTGAATGAACACCTGGTTGTTGGCAGAGTTGGCAGGGTTTAAAGACACTGTGATTTTTCCTTCTTCTACAAGGTTGAACATGTAGGCCAAGATGGAAGCATGCATGGTGAGACCTGCAGGAAACACCATAATAATTTCTCTGACATTAACTAGATAAAATGAGGTTAAAATAACAGATTAAAAACAGTTTTTATCAGCAGAATATTTGTGTTTCTACAGGTCGAATCATTCAGAGCTGCTCACCGGCAGTGTGTGAGGTGTCGGTGACCACAGAGAAGATGTGCTGCAGGACATCACAGAAATATGTCTGGTAGAAGCTCTGAGCTGCTGCTTCCTCCTGAGCAACATTCTGCAGCAGTGTGTACAAGATCTGCAGCCCTGGTGAGCACAAACCATCATTTTTAATCCAAGTGTAAAACTCTGTTCATCCCTTCTAACTAAAAATGATCATGGATTCACCACCAGATGTTTTTTGTTCAGTGTATTTTAAGGTGGTATCTGTGATTTACTGGATTTATCTATCTTTTGCACAGTTTGACATTCTAGTACACAAACACTCAATATTTTTTGTTTGTTTCTCTACTGTTGGATTGTGCTTAAAACACCTTTACCTTTCAACAACAGTTTTTTTTTTAAATAAGGTTATCAATTTAGTCAATACATGCAATAGCTTTTTTTAAACCAGTCTTTTTATTGATTTATTTTTTTTTGTTAGTTCTTCGAAGACGCATAGAAAAAGAGAAAATAAAGAAAATATGGTAAATGGTAAATGGACTGTACTTACACAGCTCCATTCTATTCATTCAACCTTTATTTATAGAGGTTAGTCTTACTGAGCCTCAGGGACTCATTTACAAGAGACCTGATTTAAACAAGGAATGATGACAACAGTAGACAAAAAAAAGACAATCATAAAAGAAAGCATATAAATTGAGAAGAAAAAATGAAAGACAAATGTAATAAAATGATATTAGAAAACTAAACAAAAAACAGCTACATTATAAGGAGTGTAGAAAACTAGACAGGAACATGTCTGCATGGTTTTTGCCATAAACTTAGCAAGATGTTTGAAACCACTTAGGTTTAGTCTCTAAACTCTAGTTCAGTCCGCACTGAAGGAACACTGCAGGTAATAATGTCATGAGAGTGCACGCGGTAGCTGCACTGATGAACTGATATATAGAAGATGTATGAAGGCACTGGACAAAGAAGTGATTTAAAGATGAAAATGTACCAGTGAGAGAGTCTGTGTGAAGTTAATGATGACCAGTTAACCAGTGAATACAAGGTGCAATGGTGGGTACGGTAGTTACAGCCAGTTATGAATCTTATCAAGATACTCAAAGCGCTTTACAACACAATCTGTGCCCTCATTTACCCATTCAAACAGCACTCTACATCTCTACAAAGAATAATCAGAGCTTTATCACATTCATACACTGATGGGACATACAGAGGCAATGAGGGGTTCAGTATCTTGCCCAGGGACACTACGGCATGAGACTGCTGTTGGAATCAAATCCCCAACTCTTGCATTGGAGGATGACTTCCCTAACCATTCAGCGACAGCCGCCCACAAAAGAAGAACACAGAACAACATCCCTGTCCACACCAGCTCACACATATAGTGGAAACCAGAAGTTTACATACACTATTTAAAAAGACAAATATGCATTTTTTCACTGTCTGACATCCATCCATCCATTTTCTTCTGCTTATCCGGGGTCAGGTCGCAGGGGTAACAGCTTAAGTAGGGAGGCCCAGACTTCCCTCTCCCCAGACACTTGGGCCAGCTCCTCCGGGGGAATCCTGAGGCATTCCCAGGCCAGCGAAGAAACATAGTCCCTCCAGTGTGTCCTGGGTCTTCCTCTAGGTCTCCTCCCCGTGGGACGTGCCCAGAACATCTCACCAGGGAGGCATCCTAGCCAGATGCCCAAGCCACCTCACTGGCTCCTCACAACATGGGAGAAACAGTAGCTTTACTCCGAGTCTTCCCAGATGACTGAGCTTCTCACCCCATCTCTAAGGGAGAGCCCCGACACCCTGCGGAAAAAAACTCACAATGGCCGCTTGTATCAGACATCTCGTTCTTTCGGTCACAACCCAAAGCTCATGACCATAAATGAGGGTAGGAACGTAGATCAATCAGTAAATTGAGAGCTTTGCCTTTTGACTCAGCTCTCTCTTCACCACGACAGACTGGTACAGCGCCTGCTTCAATGCCGACGCCACACCTATCCACCTATAAACCTCACGCTCCTTTTTTCCCTTATTCGTGAACAAGACCCCAAGATACTTGAACTCCTCCACTTGGGGCAGGATCTCCTCCTTGACCCGGAAAGAGCACTCTGCCTTTTTCAGGCTCAAGACCATGGCCTTGGATTTGGAGAAACTGATCCTCATCCCGGCCGCCTCACACTCGGCTGCAAAACGCTCCAGTGAAAGCTGTAGATCATGACCTGATGAAACCAATAGGACCACATCATCTGCAAAAAGCAGAGATGCAATCCTAAGGTCACCAAAATGGATCCCCTCAACACCTTAGCTGTGCCTAGAAATTCTGTCCATAAAAGTTATGAACAGAATCGTTGACAAAGGGCAACCTTGGCAGAGTCCAACTATCATTGGGAACGAGTCCGACTTGCTGCCAGCAATGTGGACCAAGCTCTGACACCAGTCATAAAGGGACCTAACAGCCCGTATCAAAGGGCCTGGTACCCCATACTTCCAGAATACCTCTCAGAGTTCCCAGAGGGACATGGTCGAACGCCTTCTCCAAGTCCACAAAGCACATGTAGACTGGTTGGGCAAACTCCCACGCACCCTCCAGGACCCTGCTGAGGGAGTAGAGCTGGTCCAGTGTTCCACGACCAGGAAGAAAACTGCATTACTCCTCCTGAATCCAAGGTTCGACTAGCCAACGGACCCTCCTCTACAGAACCTCTGAATAGACCTTACCATGGAGGCTTAAGAGCGTGATCCCATTTAGTTGGAACACACTCTACGGTCCCTCTTTTAGAATATGGGGACCACTACCCCAGTCTGATAATCCAGGGGAACTGCCCCTGATGTCCATGCAATATTGCAGAGTTGTGTAAGCAACACAATCCCTCAACATCCAGACCCTTAAGGAACACCGGGAGAATCTCGTCCACCCCTGGGGCCCTGTCACAGAGAAGCTTTTTAACTACCTCAGTGACCTTAGCACATAAGTCCCCAGGCTCTGTTTCCTCAGTGGAAGATGTGCTGGTGGGATTGAGATATAAGGTCAGCAGCACACCACCTCCACTATAAACAGTGTTGGTGGTAAAAAAAAATAATAATCATAGCATCACATGTAAAAAGCATGCTAGCTCACTCTAGGTTAAAAGCCAAAGAAAAAAATGTGTTTTTAAACGAGTTTTAAATAGGGAGATTGATGGGGCCTGCCTGACCTCCAATAGCAGCTCATTCCACAATTTAGGAGCCAGAACTGAAAATGTTCCGTCTCTTCTGGATTTACAAAAGGTTTTCGGGACTACTAAAAGCATCTGGTCAGAGGATCTAAGAGCACATGATAGCATGTAAAGATGAAGCAGTTCAGACAAATAAGAGGGACTAAGACTGTTCAAAGACTTAAAAACAAACAACAGAACTTTAAAATAGATTTGAAACTGGACAGGAAGCCAGTGAAGGGACATCAGAACTGGAGTGATGTGCTCACGCCTGCCTGTACCAGTCAAAAATTGTGCAGCAGAATTTTCTGGGGGCCGTCCTGTCCCTCATCGACTCCTCCCAGGCAGGCAGCCACAGCCGAAGTGGTTATAACATTTGATGTGTCCTGATGCATGCTCAATAATCCAGGTAGAAAAATCTAAAAAAGTTAAATTTGGTCCTCTGGATCGTTTTGTTTTTTTGAATGTCCAGAGGACCAGATTTAACTTTTTTAGATAAACATTTGATGTAGATTTTATAAACTCATTCAGGAAATTGGTCCTTTTTGAGAGAACTGGATCACAACACAAAGTCTCTGAGTTGAAGATTCCAGTCACATATCGGACCTTTCTTTATTCTTCAGGTTTGATTCTTGGTAAAACTCCAGTATTCATGTGGGAGTGTTTCAGCCATCGTACCTGTGTCAGCCACATTCCTCATGGTGTGCTTGAAGGCCCAGATGATGGAGTCCAGCACCAGTTTGAACTGGGCCGGAGGGATGGCGAGGAATGCAGGGAAGCAGTGAGAGTTTACGGCCTGCAGTAAGTAGAAGAAGTGGGTTCTGTGCTCCGGATACTCCTCAAAGTTCTGTCAGAATAAAACCCAATCATGATTTTATTTAGGTTCTTTCTACTTTATCACAAACATTTGTCCCATTCGGTTGGTTTCAGACATTTACAAGTTAATATATTATCCACTTTTCATTTAAATATACAAAGTTTACCTTGTAAATATGATCAGTTCATTCATGCTCTATCTACCGTATTTTACGCTGTACACGTTGCACCGCCATAAAAGATGCATCAGTCCATATTTGTCTAATAAAGTGGGAAAATCGATAAATATGTCGCTTCGCAGTATACGTTGCATCTATTATGCGTCACCACTGACACTTCGCGTTTGTTACGCGTCACTGCTGACAACCCGGAAATGTGGACTGGTGTGCCAAAAACCGTTGTGCCACCAAATGGCAACCGCGGTAGCATGTACAGGACTTTAACAAGAATTTAACAAGATTCTTGTCTTGCCCATGAGCAAGGCCCTTAATCACCACCATGTGCTCCATAAAACAGGTCTCTCTTGAAAATGAGTTCTCGTGGCTCAATGAGATTACCTGGATGAATAAAGGCTAAATGAAAAAAAAAGATTAACACTTAAAAACAATTACTTTTTTGTTCAAAATTATAGCAAAGGTGTGTCTCAGTCTAACATTTGCTTAATAAATGCACTTTAAAAGCAAGCAGAAACAATGTAGGGAGTCTATAGCAGGCCGATTGCATCATTAAAAGCTGGTGAAGATTTTCAGTCATCCAGAACATGGTAAATTAAAAAAAGTTCAAGAAAAAAAACAATAAAGTATAAAACACAAAGTTTGTTTTCTCAGTCATCCAGGTATATAACAACAAAAAAGGTTGAATCATGTCATCTGGACTTCGTTTTTTTTGTTAAAAAGAAACGTTTCGCCCCTCATCCAAGAGGCTTCGTCAGTCTGAGGCCTAGCCATCTGGTATTACCCAGAAGCCACCCTGACTCTTGTGTTTCAAGCCTGCCTCAGATACCCCTGAAGTCTGGCCTTTTCACTAATGGTTTCAAAAACACAAAGTTTGTTTTCTCAGTCATCCAGGTATATA